CCCTTAGTGAACAATTCTGTTGAGGATACACAGAACAGACTACAGTTTGCAGCATAGCTGTATTGACTTGGTAGCACTAGCTAATATTTGAAGAAATTGGTACATTCTTTGTTTCCAAAATCACCAGATTTAATATTGAATTATTAAAGAAACAAATCTATTGATGTGTTTATGCTTCTTTTTCTCTGTATTAAGCTTCATTTTAGTATACCACTGCTGGAATATACATATGAAGCATCAACGATAAAACACTAGCACAGAAGATAGGAGTCAAGGCAGGAGAAATCCATAATTAGATTTTTCTCAGTACATCCATCTTCATTTATCCAAGAGGCCAAAGTCATTATTATTTACTCAGGAATCTCCTTGGAGAGTAGAACTGTAAAGATTTACTGCATATTATGAGAATCTGTAAGTATATTGAAGTTCCCTAGTTCAATTATTTGTCCCTTTTATATTTGATTATAATAGGAAGAAAGTTATACCAGTACCTGTATGTTTGGTTTCTGATTATATCTTCCCTCTCCTAAATTGTTCCTGTAATGGAAAAGGGGCAACTGTATTTCATGTCTTCCCTCACATTTTGTTTCTTTTTTCGTCAGCTTATAGAAGCTTACCTGTGAAGTTCTTTGTGTTTGGTACAAGACAATCAAATCTGTTAAGAAATTAATGACAGAAAGTCTTAACTAGAGAAGCTGTACTTTTCACAGCCATTCTTTTTTTCTCAGTGGAGAGTGAGGCTTAGATGCAGCAAATCATGTCTCCCAGACCAGTTTGGATTCATGAGTGAAGTCCTTGCTTTATCTTGGCTTGTTAGAGCAAAACACTTTTCTCAGGATCAATCTTATGAGCCATAGTGCAAAGGCATTTAATTTTAAATTTTAAATCTGATTGTCCTGTATAATGTGAAACTGCTGTTTAGCAAGCAGCCTTACTCAGTAAAAATGGCATTGTGAACACACACACACACTAGAACAAAACAAAACAAAAAATCACCCTAGTTTGCCATAGATTACTTCATCTCACTTAATCTTTATTTTCCTTGATAAAACAAAAGGAAGCAAACAAAATATTCTGTGAGTAAATTAAAGGTATAATAAAAAACGGTAGCTATACTTTGGCACATAAGATATTTTAATAAGTGATTTATTTTATTTTCTCTAAAATAAAGGCATTAGCAAATGTTATAACTGTGCCTAAGAATGGAGACTTAAACCACTCAAATATCAGAGTTAAATGTGTTCAACCTGCTGTAAAGCAAAAACTGAGGATGAACAGTTCTTTCTCAGATTGAAATATTAGTAATTTATTTTTTTTTTTAATCTTAATCATATCCAAAGCCTCGCCCTGGGTTCAGCTCTCGCTGTACAACAGTTCCTGTCTGGGTCTAGTATGTACTCCTCATCCCATAACCCTGCAAACTGCAATGGCCCACTGAGCTCATCAAGGTCATTAAGGCTGATTGCACAGCACCAGGTACTGGCATTAGTCAATCCAGCTGTAGAATCAGGGCCAAGTTTAAGGCAAAACACAACAAATGAACGTCAAGAACAGCAAGTCAAAGGATGATAGATTTTAAATGGTGCTGTTAACCCCCAAGCCAACAGTCAATTACAAATAGGAAAGTGCACGCAGGATTCCCATCAGCACAGGTTCTGGGTTCTCGACAGTGAATGCAGATGAAAAGATAAGCCCTGTCCCTGCAAGCACTGGTGGGACAAACTTTATGGAAACATCAGTGGAAAAGCACATGTTTCAGTACTGCATGTCAGTTTTTACCTAGTGCTTAAATGTTCTTTAAAAAAACATGCCTCACATAAAAGTCCAGACCATCTTAGGTAAAAAAAACAAAACAAAACATTATTTTGATAAATAATTACTTTGGGGTTGAGGGAACAGTTTGGAGAGGAGATTGTTTCATTTTGGTTTATTTTTGTAATTTCATTCTGTTTCTTTTGACCTTTAAAATATTCTGCATAAAAAAGAATATTTTTTAAAAAAAACACATATATTAATATCCACATGAATTCTGTTATGTGAATGAGACCTTTTATCAAACTGTGCTCTCAGAAAATATTTGGAACCTTCAGGAAACAACATAGCATATTTTGAGTCTAAGGTGGCAAGCTCAGCAACCAGATTTTGCAAAGGCAATTTATGTAGCAATGGTATAATCAAAAAAGGCTTACATTTTCTCTCCAATGAAAAAAACATGTTTACTGCACTCACACAAAGGTTTTATAGAAGAGATGCCACCTCATATCTAAGAATAAACCAGTTCACAACGATGACTGAAATGTAAGGGTTAATGTTTGTATTCGACATAAAACAAATGCTGCTATAATTTAAAACCGAAAGTCTTGATAAATCCTTGTACATCAACATAAATCTTTGTACATATATATAAAGACCAGGCAAGAATCTGAAGAGAGCCCTGTAATTTCCTGAAGAACTGACAAAATTCCAATGAAATAATTTTCATGTAAAAAAAAAATAAATTCTGTGGGCATATATGTGCTTGCTTTGATGCAGACTAAATTTGTAGTCAAAGCTAGGAGAGAGCTAAAGTCATTCATCTGAGAACAGACAGGACCTCAGCGGTTTATTTCCTATTCTGAATCTCAGAGAAAAAAATGTTAACACTCAGTCTCCCATTTCTTGGGAATCACTCTAACTATAATACCAAGCTACTATTACACCTGGTCTCAGTTATCCCTACTGAAGCTGTTCATCAGCCACTACAGAGCAAGAAAGGACAAGAAAATTAACTATATTAAAAACTGCTTTAAATATACTAAACCCCTGTACTATGTTAAAAAAAATAAATAAAAATAAAAATAAAAAAGCCAATTTCTGTACCATTCATGCTGGATAAGTTCTTGCTCAGAGATGTCATTATCTATGCAGAGTCCAGATCTTTCCCAATGAACCAGTTTCCCCTCCCTTTGCTCACTATTCTCTCTCTTAGTAGTCTATAGTCCTTGTGGGAGAAGGATGGAGGGCGGGGACAAGTACAGAGGAAACAGAATGAATCACAGAATGGTTTAGGTTGGAAGAGACCTTAAAGATCACATAGTTCCACTCCCCCTGCCATGGGCAGGGACACCTTCCTCTAGCCCAGGTTGCTCAAAGCCCCGTCCAACCTGGCCTTGAACACTGCCAGGGAGGGGGCAGCCACAGCTTCTCTGGGCAACCTGTGCCAGTGTCTCACCACCCTCACAGTAAAGAATTTCTTCCTTATCGATAATCTAAATCTACCCTCTTTCAGTTACCCCTTGTCCTATCACTACACTCCCTGATAAAGAGTCCCTCTCCAATTTTCCTGTAGCCCCCTTTAAGTACTGGAAGGCCACTATAAGGTCTCCCTGGAGCCTTCTCTTTTCCAGGCTGAACAAACCCAACTTTCTCAGGCTGTCCTCATTGCGCAGGTGCTCCAGCCCCCTGACCATCTTTGTGGCCTCCTGTGGACTCACTCGATCAGGTCCATGTCCTTCGTAAGTTGGGGGCCCCAGAGCTGAACACAGCACTCCAGGTGGGGTCTCATGAGAGCAGAGTAAACAGAGAGAATCACCTCCCTCGACCTGCTGGTCACACTTCTCTTGATGCAGCCAAGGATATGGTTGGCTTTCTAGACTGTGAGTGCAGACTGCTGGCTCATAGTTTTCCATCCGTCTATACCCCCAAGTCCTTCTCTGCAGGGCTGATCTCAATCCACTCATTGCCCAGCCTGTATTTGTGCTTGGGATTGCCCTGACCCATGTGCAGGACCTTCCACTTGGCCTTGTTGGACTTCATGAGATTTTGCACGGGCCCGCCTCTCAAGACTGTCAAGGTCCCTCTGGATGGCACATCCCTTCCCTCCAGCCTGTCAATCACACCACACAGCTTGGTGTCTTTGGCAAACTTGCTGAGGGTGCACTCAATCCTGTTGTCCATGTCATTAACAGAGATGTTAAACAGCACCGGTCCCAGTACCAACTCCGGGGGGACGCCACTGATCACTGCTCTCCACTTGGACATCGAGCCATTGATCACAACTCTTTGAGTGTGACCATCCAGCCAATTCCTTATCCACTGAGTGGTCCATCCATAAAATCTGTCGCTCCAAAGTAGAGAGATTGATGTTATGCAGGACAGTGTCAAAAGCTTTGCACAGGTCCAGGTAGATGACATCAGTTGCTCTTCCCTTATCCACCAATGTTGTAACCCCATTGTAGAAGGAAACCAAATACCTCAGGGTTGATTTGCCACTAGTGAAACAATGTTACATGCCGCCAAACATCTCCTAATTTTCCTAGCACAGAAATCTGTAAGTTAAGTCATGCTCAGATCTAACCCCAGAACTGAGATGGGAGGAGAGAAAAACACTGAAAGATTAGTTTAAGAATCTTCTTGAGAGCAGCATTGAGTCCTACTCCTACTGGCTTTAAAGATGCACAAAATTGGACCTAATAATTTTGCAATGTCCCCTCTTTCCCTCCCCTTGCCTACTGTATTTTGTGGCTTGTTTGAGCCTATGGAGACTAGAGGACATCCTCCAGCCAGGGGCTGTAATCTGCCTTCTAGAACATATTTTTTCCAATGGCTGCAGGGGAGCAGAACCAGTTTACTGACCTTCTCTCAATGCTTTAAGATGCCCATCTTAGTATTTTTTCTTTTTCCCAGTGAGTTCTTACTAGTTCTTACTAGCTCTTACTAGAATTGTGGCACTCAGAAATACCTTCATGCCAACAGTGAACTCAGAGCTGAACCAGTTCCCACCATGGTTATAGAAATATTTGTGTTGTCTTTAGTGAACTTTGGGTCAGGGGTCTCTTTTGGAATGAATGTGTTAGAAGACCAGATCAATTCTCTTAAGTGACTGTAGCCCTTACAGCAAATCAGCAGTTTGAAATGTAAAGCTGTGTGGAAATCTACCCAATCTCTCTCTTCCCTCGCTTCACAAGTGGGAGCTGTTGATACCTGCACAGCTCTTGGTACAAGGCAGAGCAGAAGAGCATAGTAAATTAATAATCCACAAGCCATTCAGAAACGTTTAGGACAGAGACACTGACACCAGGGAATCATATGTCTGCATTGAGCATCTAGTAAATTGTTTACTTGGAAGGCTGATGAGAAACACACAGATGAACCTCTGAAACAACTACTTGGCAGGTAAGGCTACTAATGTACTCTAATATAGTGCTATGTTCTCATCATCGCTATATCTTTTTCCCAAGTGTACTCGCAGCAGTTTATCAACATTATATAATGCAGGGAGAGTTCAGAGCAAAGATAGAGAGTTGGTAGCCGGTGTTTTGTGTGCTTCTTTATTTGACATACTTGATTTACAGGTCTCCTGTTTACACGATACACTTTGGGATGTTGCTTCTTTTATTTTTAATGTTAAAATAATTACTCTTGATTCTAAATAAACAACCGGGAAGGTTTCGGGAGCAGGCTTGAAAGACTGCTTTTAAGAACTACTCCAGGGTATGGCTTATTTCTCAGCCAGTCAATGCTTATCGTCCTCTATATGTTTCCCCCTTGTTTACCGCCTTTTTTCCCTATCACAGTACGGTTTTGTTTTCTCCTGCCGGGTGGGAAAAAAAAGGAAGAAAAGAAGAAGAGCAGGATAGGCAAGCGCTAGAAGCGCTTCTCCCCTCGGCGTTGGGGGGTCGCGGAAGCGGGGCTGGGGACCTCCTGCCCTTCAGAGGAGCCGATCGCCCTTCCCGGGGGGGCGG